GGGAGCCCTGACATAATTAAAAACAAACAGAAAACCAGAACAACCACCACCGAATGCACACTCTGTCCCAGTGAAAGTGATCTGGGCAGAGACCTGGCTGTGTTCTCCATTGGAATCCTGCCTCTGCCACTGAGCACCACGGCTTCCCGCGGATGCCAAAGCCTCCCTCAACCCCCATCATCTTCATCCTCAGACTGGTGCTAATAATCGTGACTACCTACCCCCTAGGAGAAGTAAATTGATTCAGGAAATGCTCATAGTACAGTGCTTGTGGTACATAAAAGCAAGTGTAAGCAATAACTAAAATTACATTATTATTTTAATGATAATAACACTATACCATTTAGACCAAACTCTGTATGTGTTTGTGTGTGTGTGTGTGTGTGTGTGTGTGTGTGTGTGTATGCAGAGGCAGAGCAGGCTCTCAAAAATATTTGATAAATAAATAATATTCCAAGTAAAGCAGGCCTGCTTGTATACCTAATCCCTTCATTTAGGATCCTGGTGTAGAGTATCATACATCTTTTGAATGCTCTATAAATATTTTATAACAGCCACAATGGTATAATGATTCTAATTATGAATAAGAGAACTCTTAGCAGGAAGGTTTGAACTCAAGGCCTAGGTGTTGTCCTTGAGCTTCTTTTGCTCAAGGTTAGAGCTCTACCACTAGAATCACAGATCCAAATATGGATTTTTTTTTTTTGGTGGGGGATAAATTATTGGAGATAGAAGTACCATGGATTTTCCTGTCCAGGCTGGCTTTGACCTATGATCCTCAGATGTCAGTCTCCTGATTAACTAGGCTTACAGGCATGAGCCACTGGTGCCCAGCTAGCAAAATATTATTTTTTTAATCTGTATGTAGCCTGGGGCCAGCGGCTTTTAGTTACTCAAGAGCCTGAGATATGAGGATCACAGTTCAAAGCTGGCCAGGAAAGTCCCTGAGATTCTTATCTCCAGTTAACACCAGGAAACCAGAAGTGGCACTGTAGTAGAGTGCTAGCCTTGAGCAAGTAAGCTCAGGGACAGCACCCAGGCCCTGAGTTCAAAAAATCTGCATGTAAGTGGACTGACAGAGCAAACCCTGTGTTGTTTAAGGTTCTACTGTATTTTCTGATTTTAGCTCTTACAAAATAGGAAAAGTAAAAATTGACAGTTCCAAGGGGTCCAATTGAACATCTGGTATTCTGATTATGGGAAATGGAAAAGACTATAATACCCAACTATGCAACAAGAGAGGCCAAGACAACAAACTACCTTCTACCCTCCTATAAAACAACCTTCCTTCAAAGCTCTATAGAAAGTGAGACAGCCAAAACGTACTGACTGGTAGACTGTTCAGACATCTTGTGTCAATAAAAATTGAGAAATAGAAAACAACCTAGTTCCTGCAGACTTCAACAGAATGTTTCTAAATGGAGTTGGAGCAACATTGGCAGATATAAATAAAATCCTAGACCACTGTCAGCAACAAGTTCATTCTTCACAAAACAGTCGATCACAGCTTATGACTTTAGGATCCCCAAAGTCCCATATTCAATCTATGTCTGGGATCCATCTGCTCAAATGACTCAACAAATGGCCAAATGGTCTCAACAAGATGTCTGAGGCCCTTGGGGCTGGGAAGGTGGCTCAGTGGTAGAGCGCTTGCCTTGCATGCCTGAGGCCCTGGGTTCAATTCCTCAGCACCACATAAGCAAAAAGAAAAAAGCTGGAAGTGGTGCTGTGGCTCAAGTGGTAGAGCACTAGCCTTGAGCTGAAGAGCTGAGGGACAGTGCTCAGGCCCAGAGTTCAGGCCCCACGACCAGACCCCCCCCCAAAAAAAAAGATGTCTGAGGCCCATCTTCAATGTCAATTTCACAAGTACCTCTGTCTCCCCCCTAAATCAGATAGGATCATATCAAGATACTCAGGACCAACAAGAAATTTTACTTAGAGAAAAAAATAGTATGGAATAGACCACCTTATACTTAGAAACTAAACTATTGGCTATATTTTATAGCTAAGGATATGTGCTTAAAAAAAAAGTGTATTTATAAGGACCAGAAGTTCAAGTGGACTGGCTCAATGAGTCACCAAAATTATCAGTTCTTTTATAAAACTCAGTTTGGGAATCTGTTCCTAGTAACCCGACAGATAATGTGGTTCATCATTCTCAGATATAGGTATTGACACATACATACATACATACATACAGAAATTGCTTGATATGATGAGAACTTATCTCACTATTGAGATGTCTTTATGTAAACACAAGGGCTTCTATATTGACATGTTTGATGATATTTTGCATGTTTTGCTTCAAAGAAGTATTTCCCTTAGTAAACTATTTTTTTAAAAATGTTGCTGTTGGCTGGGAAGGTGGCTCAGTGGTAGAGCGCTTGCCTTGCATGCATGAGGTCCTGGGTTCGATTCCTCAGCACCACATAAGCAGAAAAAAAAAAGCCGGAAGTAGGCGCTGGGGCTCAAGTGGTAAGAGCGCTTGCCTTGAGCTGAAGAGCTGAGGGACAGCGCCCAGGCCCAGAGGGGGGAGGGGGGAAATGTTGCTGTTGTCACTGCCCACCAGTATACTTCCTTCATCAGTAAATGGTATAATTGAGGAGAGAGGAGTGCAAAGTACTAATATACAATATGGGCTGGTTTCTATGACTAAGTAAAAGAAGCCAGGACAAAAGCTGCATATTGTTACACTTCTATTTATATCAAATGTACAGAGCAGGCAAATCCATAGAGACAGGATGTGAATAGTTGAGTGGTTGTCAGGAGGTGGGGCGGAGAGTGGTTCTGACTGCTAATGGGTATAGGTTTTCTTACTGGGATGATGATCTGGCCCTGGGATGTGTTAATGGCTTTGAATATATATATATATATATTTGAATATATATAAATAATCACTGAATTTGCACTTTAAATGATATAGTGTGTAAATTGTCTCTTAGTTGTTGTTTTTGGTTGGTGGTGGTGGTCGTGAGACTTGAACTCTGGGCCTGGGTGCTGTCCCTCAGCTTTTCAGCTCAAGGCGATCACTCTACCACTGGAGCCACAGCGCCACTTCTGTTTTATGGAGGTTCACTGGAGATCAGAGTCTCGAGGGCTTTCCTGCCTGGGCTGGCTTTGAACTGTGATCCTCAGATCTCAGCCTCCTGTGTAGCTAAGATTACAGGCGTGAACCACCTGTGCCCAGCTTGTCTCTTAGTTTTTTTTTTTAAAGTGACTACATCTAAAAATTTAAAGCCAGTATAAACTCTAAATTCGCTAGTTTTTAAAAATACATATTTTAAATAGGCTTGCCTCCTCTTGAGCCCTACAAAAATGTAGGGCTGAAAATTCTGGAGTAAGGACACTTTGTGTGTGGAGGAGGGAGGGCAGGTTCTGGGTCTTCACTCTCTCTAAGCTATTGTGCTCAAGGCTGGTGCTCTGCCACAGTGGAGGCACAGTTCCACTTCCAGCTTTTTGGTGGCTAACTGGAGGTAAGAGTCTCATGGACGTTCCTGCCAGGGCTGGCTTCAGCCTGCAATCTTCAGACCTCCCGAGTAGCTAGCTTTACAGGACTGAGTCACTAATACTTGCTTGGCGGCCACTATTTTTTTTTAGTGCAGGAACGTTCCAGACCGTCTCACAATGGGAATTAATTTCCCTTTCCCTAGAATCGTGGATCTTAGACAACAGCTGTTGGATCCAAATGCCCTCTTATACAGATGACCAAACCCACGCCCAGAGGGGAGTTTGCAAATTGGCTGAGGACTGGGATTTCTCGCCAGACTTACTTTGGGCTGCCCTTTGCTTATCTTAACAGTCAGGGTCCATCAGCTTCAGGAATTCGCAGGTGTGCTTCCCGGTGAATTGTAAAGGAGGAGTGATTCACAGCCCCTTCTCCCCAGGGGTGAGCATTTCCCTTCCTGACCTCGTGGTGGTTCTTAACCACACTTACAAAAAGACACGTGTGTGTGTGTGTGTGTGTGTGTGTGTGTAAGATCCTCTGATGCACTTGGCTGGGCGGGAGGGCTCTGAGAACCCTGCCCCCCTACGAGGAGCAATGATCGGAGTTCTGGCATGTCTGTCCTGGATTGTATAGAGTAAACTCTCCAGTCCTGGTTGATCGAAGCCAATCCCAATTTCAAAACCTCAGCCCTGCAGTCTTTACACCTCTCGATCCACGGCGGCAGGGCAGACTCCAGCCAGCGTTCAGAGCTGGAGCCACTTCCCAGTTGCATCCGAGAGTCCCTGGGACAGGTGCACCCTCTGCGCACCAGGACTCTGTCTGCGGAGGATCGGGACCCCAACGCACCACGGACGGCTGGGTGTCCCCGGCGTCGGGGGGTTTGGGGACGCCCCGATGCTGGTCCTGCAGACAGCCGCTCGGGGTCTCCCTCTCGCAGGAGGAAGCTTCGGCGTGCGCCCAGCTCCCTTCCCGGTGTGAGATGAGAACCCAAACGTTGGGGATGGGTTTCACTCTCGGGGGGGACGGGGTTGGGTAGCGAGTGCGTGCAAGCCGGGGGGGGGGGTTGGCCCGAGGCCGCCGAGCACCGAGAGGTGTGCAAAAGTGCCAGGCACCGCGCAGGCGCACTGAGGCAGGCTCGCCCGCCCGTCTGCTTTGCCAGTACAAAGACCAGGCTTCCTCCAGGTCCGATCCACGCTTCCCGCTCGCTCAGCTGCGATCCGGGGAGCAGCTACGGTCGTCTCCCACTCGGGGTCTCCCCTGGTTGCTTCTCCATCCTTCGCCGAGGCTCTGGGTCAGTCCCGAGCAGCCACGAGATTCAGGGGTTTAATTCCGGCGCTGCCCCGGGCAGCAGGCTCCGCCCCCTCATTATGGCCCCGCCCCTCCAAGGCTCCGCTCCACGTGCCACGCCCCTCCTGGTGGCCCCGCCCTTCTGGGTGGCCCCGCCCCTCCATATGGTTCAGCTCCCGAGGTCTCTCCGCCCCTCCGGGTGGCCCCGCCCCTTGGTGTGGCTCCGCCCCCGGCTCGCCCCGCCCCCTCCGGATCGGGGAGCCGCGGCCGAGCAGCCTGGGAGCTTCCAGCCCCGCGCGGCAGGTTGGGATCAGCGGCTGGAGGTGAGTGACGCCTGGGGCTGCGCTGCACCCCTTTCCTTGGCAGGTGAGGCCCGGGGCGCTTAGGCTCTCACCCTGGCCCCGGGCCGGCCCCCACAGCCAGCCCGGCAAACTTGGCGCGCACGGGGGGCGGGGGCGCTCCGGGACGGTGGCCCCGGGCCGTCCCGGGGGCTCCCTCCCGCGGGACGGGGTCACCCCGCGGTCAGGGAGAGGGCCCCAGACGTGGCCTCGCCGGGGTGGCAGCCCCCCTCGTTTGGCGATGCGGGGAGCGGGTCTGTCTCGGAGCAAGCGCAGTGCCCCAGACTCGGGGCAGCGCGCGGGAGGGCGCGGGCGCCTCCTGACCCCGCACCGGCGCGATCGCCACCCTCCCGGGGCCCCCGGAGCCGGGCTGGGGCGCAGCACCCTTTCCGGGGACCTCTCTCGGTGGAGGTCGGTGGTCGGCTCCGCGAGGGGGCCGCGGCGGTGGGTCGGGATGGCTCTAGGCGCCGTCCTGGAGCGGCAGGTGGCCGCGACTCCGAGATGGCTCCGGCCCGGGTGGCCGGGGCCCGGCGGTGGGGGAGGGGCGTGGCCGCTGGCGGCGCTCGGGGTCTTTGGGGACCCCCCCTCCCCGACACCTGGCTGGGTTTGGGCGTCCTTGTGCGGACTGGATCCCTGGACCGCCCCAGTTCTGGTCACTTGGGCAGAGAACGCGCGGGGAGCTCTGCGCTCCCTCCCGGCCGCCCGCCCGCTTGACTGATTGGCTTGCTGCCCCCTCCCCCTCTCCGTCCCCCCTCACCCTCCCCTGGTTTCCCCAGGAACTTTCCGAGGCAACTTTCTCCTGGTCGATCCTGCCGGTTAGGAAGAGCTGAGCTGCACCGGGGCTGAACCGGTGAAAGCTTTGGTCTTGTGAACGCTAGCCACCATGAATGGCGTGCCCCCCCCCGCGCGCCCCCCGCCACCTTCCCCGCATCACTGGCCTTCTGCACGTCGTGTCCACCCAGAGTCGTTTTCATTAATGAATTATCCTATAGGACCCAGATTCTCAAAGAAGAGCCAGAAAGTTAATCATCCCTGGCCCCAACTTCATCCTCCTTCCCCACCCCCCACCCCATTTTTTTGAGCTGAGTGGAAATCAGGACTTCTTCCTTGCTTATTTTTAGTTTGATAAGTTCATGCAATTTGACTTTTAGATGGCCCTCGGTTGTTTAATCTCCTTGTCTCTGCTTACATGCAAGTCTCTGCTAAAGTGTTGGATACGTCGTCGTTTTATTTAAAAATTGGAGATGTAATAATAAACATACAGACTGCCCTCTTAAAGTGCACGATTCAGTCCAAAGTTTGAGAATCATCACATCTAATTCATCACACTTTGATTACTCCCCTCCACCCCAAAGAAAGCAACCTCACCACCTTCACGAATCCATTCCCCCTGTCTGCTTCCCTGATTTTAAAGTAGCTACTTGGGAGAGAGACCGAAGGAGTAGAGATGATTACCTTTGGTCTTTTTACTGTTTATGGTTTGGAGAAAGATGGTGAACCCAGTTCTGTGGGGGAGATGAAAAAGTCCAAAGGTGGATTAGAAGCTCCCAGCAGCAGGATAATTTCTCCCTTAAAGATAACACAAATTGGAACTACTTGAGAGGCTGAGGAAATGGGGGATAGAAAGCTCAGCAGTTGGGGGAGGGAATTCCAGAGATCTTTCCTCTACCAGACACTGGGCTAGATACATTGCACCTGTCATCCTAGCAACATTGGGAAAAGTGCAGATCAGGTTGTAGTTCCCTCATAAAGTGAGACCCTAGCTCAAAATAACTAACACAAAAAGGGGCTTCAGCAGAAAGGCTTAAGTCATGGAATACCAGCTGAGCAAGCTTCAAGGCCTGGAGTTCAAGTCCAATACCACAAAAACAACACAAGATACCCCACCATAACAATGACACATACAGAATTAGAACTGCATTTTATCCCTAGGGGCTGGGGATGCATCTGTAAACAGGTGGGCTTTTCTCCTCTCTCCTTTGGCATGATCCCATGGCTTCCAGCATAATTAGACAAACTTCTACCATCTGCCCTTAAAAGTAGTTTGTTTGTGTTTTTAAAGAAGTATTGACACATTTCAGACCAGGTTCACTTAATGAGTATCAACATCTGTTCACAGATAAGTCCCAGGTGTTGATGATGCTCATGCCTTAACCTACTCACCTGGGAGGTAGAGGAGAGAAAGGTCTGGGTGGAGGGAATACAAGGAATTGGGGAGGATGAGTGCTTGTGGGACTTAGGCTGTTTGCTAACTGTAAGAACAGATTGAAAAGCAGTTACAAGGGAAGACAGTTTGCCTGGCTTTTGTTGGGTTATTGGTCTATGGTTTTAAAGTCAGTTTTAGTGAGCAGAATTGAGGCTTTCCAAATTATGCATCCATTACCGCATTTCTCATGCACCCCCGTTCATTTAAAGCTGTTGAAGTGGCTTCAAGCATTACAGGAAATTTTATGCCTGTTGCATAGGCAACTTGGTTGCTGTCACCTCCTTTTTTTAAATACATCTCAAAACTTGAAATCTACCCAATGTACGAGTACACAACACAAGTTGTCACAAAGTAAATCTAAACCTGTATACAGATCAAGAAACATTCAGCATTGCAGAAACCCCCCTTAACTTGCTTTGTAATCATCTGCACATAACCCCTTTGCCAGCCAGAGATAAGTTTCACATGTTTTCATTCTGTATCTACCTGGAGTCACATGCTATCTAATTTTGTATCTGGTTTCTTTAAGCTATGTTTATGACTCTTGTGTTGGCTGATTGTGGCTATAGTTCAGTCATTTTCATGGCCATGTATCATTCTATTATGTGATTATCCATTCTAGGGTTAAAAAGCATGTGAATAGTTTGCAAATTTTGTCTGTAGCAAATAGGACTTTGAGTATGCATGCACAAATATATGTGCACTGTTGTATTTGCCATCAACTCAGGAGTGGAATGTTGCATTCCGATATTTAGGTTAGAAGATGATGTAAAAGTAGGTTTCCTGCTGGGTGCAGGCGGCTCATGCCTGTAATCCTAGTTACTCAGGAGGCTGAGATCTGGAGATCACAGTGCAAAGTCAGCTCCTGCAGAAAAGTCCCAGTGCGACTCTCATCTCCAAGTAACTACTCAAAAAACTCGAAGTGGCACTGTGGTTCAAAGTGATAGAGCACTGACAGCCTCAAACAAAAGAGCTCAGCAACAGTGCTTAGTTCCAGAGTTCAAGCCCCACTACTGACAAAAGAAAAAAGCCAGGCTTTTTAGGTCATCTTGTCTGTTAAAGAGTGCTGAGTTCTATCCTGGCCTTCTAAAACTGCCAAGGCAGGTCTGCAGCCATGATTCTGTGCTGTTCATGGAACTCACAAGTCTCGATTTGCTGTTGTCTCTGAACACTGTATCTTAATGTGGCTTTAGTCTCCACTGCAGAACCCTTGTGGGCTTTTTATGTGACAGTAATGAGATGGTCATTGGAAAAGTGTTATTTTTGGAATTAGTTTCTCTCTATTGCTGTGGAAATAATCTTTGTGCATAAACACGCTTCACTCTTGTTTGAATATCACATAGTCTAGGGCTTCTCCTTTTTTTTTTTAAATGGACCTAGATATTTATTGTTACACTGTTGCCTGCAAACCCGAGTTATCTTTGAGTCTAGTGTGAACTTGATTAATATGTTTTCAGGTTGTCAACAGCAACCTAAATTGCATTTCTGAAAATAATCATAAGGATGACCTTCAGATCTCCTTTATAATTATAAAAGCATAAAATGAACTTTTGTTGCCCTCCCTCCTTTTTTAAAACAATGCTATGAAGTTTTTCTTATAATACTCTTGACAAAGTTACTAAGCTCAGAGCTTTAGGGAATAAAAGAAGGATCATACGATTAAGTTTTTATTGTTGCTGTTCAGAAATTATGTACAAAATTTAAAATACCACTGAGGCAAAATTTTTCTTGACAAAAGAAAAGAGTTTAGCTTATTCAGTAAAGATTGTACTTGAGTTCTGCATCGTAAGTGGTTTTTGTTTCTTTGTTTGCTTGTTCTCCCTGTGTGGATGTTCAAGGGCCTTCTAGCTACTCAGGAGGCTGAGATCTGATGATTGCAGTTTGAAGCCAGCCCAGGCAGGAAAGTCCATGAGACTCTAATCTCCAATTAACCACCAGAAACAGAATTGGGGCTCAAGTGGTAGAGTGCTAGCCTTGAGTGAAAAAAAACTTAGGGACTCTGTCCAGGCCCTGAGTTCTGGGCCCAGGACTGGTGCACACGCGCGCACACATACACACACACACACACACACATACAAAGTAGCTTCTCAGAAAAAGTATAAACTTGGGTTGAGCTTTGAGGAGTCTTTAGAAATTGGCTGGGGAGCACCTTTCTCAGGGGAGAGATGAGCAATGCCTGGTGGAGTCCCATTTGGCCTCTGGACAGTGGGAATGATGACTCCCTTGCTTTCTCCTTCTGGAAACTAGTAACTAGTTTAAAAGCAGGAGAAGCTCTTGCAGTGTTGGAAGGCTGCTTTGCCCCTGCAAGTTGGCATTACAGGTCTGATTGCAAACACTTGGCAGGGGTTAGGAGGCAGAGAGCTGCTGCTTAGCCTGGCTGTGGCTCTTCACCTCCTCCTCCTTCCTGGTAGGTGAAATTCAATGAAATTTCCCTAACAGCAAGGCTGCTGCATGAACCTTCATTTAGAATAAGCCAGTGTCTGTTAGCTGTAGTGACATGCAAGGCTTGATCTGGTGCGGGTTTTCCAAGAGCAGACCCTGAGATATCACAGCAGGGAGCAAATAGGAAGATAATACGTGGGGTTGGAGGCGTGGCTTAGTTGGTAGAGAGCTAGCCAATGAGCAAAAGCATCAGGTGTTCAGTTCAAGTCCTGATCTCAGACTTTTCCCCAATCCCCCAAGATAATACCACCAGGTGGGTTGGCATCTAAAATGACTCATTCTGGCCTTGGAGAAATTAATGCCAAGTAGAGAGATCTGGGTGACATTTAGCGGGACT